ACGACGTGCAACAGGATTGTGCTACAACTATGATGATCCTTATGTTGCAGGCCATCAATGAAAAGAGTTATTTTGGATGGAAATAGAGGATGGAGAATCGGGGGACATAACAACGGACAACGAAGAGCCCGCCATCTCACACTCATGCCATCACAGGCAAATAACATGCAAATACTATGCAATTGCAAGTTGTAATTGATATGTAGTTGTTGCTTAACTTAGTGGATTCGAGAGCACACACAATTTTATTAGCTCTACTGCTACCCAACCTTTAGGATTGCCTATCCATCATCAGGAAAATCTCAATGTATCAGTGGCAAATGGCGAAAAAATCTCCAGTTTGGGCATTTGCAAAGGAGTGTAATTTTCTGTAATTACCCATTCTTTTATTGCTGATTTTTATGTGATTCCTTTGGATGGTTTTAATATTGTCCTAGGTGTCAAGTGGCTGCAAACACTCGAGCCTATCTTATGGGACTTTACCTCATTGACAATGATATTTGAAGTAAATGAAAGGCAGATCACCTTACAGGGACAACAACAACTATTCCAGCCGCACCTACATCTTTCGCTGGATTCCAAGCAAGGTGACCTCGAGAAGATATTGGCCAAATTTGATGACATATTCCAAGAACCTACAGGTCTGCCTCCTATACGTTCCTGCGACCATCGCATTTGTTTACTACCAGGAACTGATCCGGTGGTAGTTCGACCCTATCGCTACCCTCACTTCCAGAAAGATGAGATTGAAATATAGTATGATCAAATGCATCATCAAGGCATTATCCGACCCAGTCGTTCTCCATTCTCATCACCTGTACTGTTAGTTCGGAAACATGATGGAACATGGCACTTTTGCATGGACTATAAGGATCTTAATTCCAAAATAGTAAAAGACAAATTCCCTATTCCAGTAGTAGATGAATTACTTGAAGAATTACATGGAGCACAATTTTTCACCAAGCTCGATCTTCGCTCTAGTTACCATCAAGTCCGCATGGACTCTATGGATGTTGAGAAGACGGCTTTCAGAATGCACCATGGCTATTTTGAGTTCTTTGTCATGCCATTTGGATTGACCAATGCCCCCTCTACCTTTCAAGAAATGATGAATGAGGTATTCCGAAATTACCTACATCAATTTGTACTTGTATTTTTTGATGACATCCTTGTGTATAGCAAGACTTGGAAGGATCATTTGTCGCACATGCGAATCATCCTTGAGTTACTGCAAGCTCATCGCCTTTGTTTTAAAAAATCCAAATGTTCCTTTGGCGAAAAACAAGTAGCTTATCTGGGCCACATAGTTTCAAACACAAGTGTTTCAGCTGATGACAACAAGATCAAGGCCGTGGTGGACTGGCCTCAACCGCAATCAACAAAAATATTGCATGGATTCTTGGGCTTGGCAGGATATTACCACAAATTCATCCAGAATTTTGGTCTGATTGCTGCTCCCTTAACAAGTATGCTTAAGCGACATTCTTTTAAGTGGAATGATGATACACTTGCTTCTTTTGAAGCTCTTAAAAAGGCATTAATTGCTGCCCCAATCTTACAGTTGCCAAATTTTGACGAAGAATTTGTTATTGAGTGTGATGCTTCAGGTGATGGAATAGGAGCAGTCCTTTAACAGAAGGGACATCCAATTGCTTTTTATTAGTTGTAAGCTAGCTGATCTAAACCTAAAACTTCCAGCTTATGAACGTGAATTGATAGGCTTGACAAAGGCAATTCAACATTGGAGACGTTATCTTTTGGGTCGAGCCTTTCTAATTCGAACTGATCATTATAATATTAAATACTTGTTAGATCAACGTCTTACTACTTCTCCTCAACAACATTGGCTTAGCAAGTTGACGAGGTATGCGGGTTGAATACAAGGTCAGGCGCTTGAATACTGCTGCATATGCATTATCACGACGAGAAGGGACTGAAGATATGTTATTTGTTATTTCCCAGCCTCAGGTTTTGATATTTGATGAAGTCTGGGCAGAAGTCAAGCAGTCACCAATTCTTCGAGAACTTCAAACTAAAATTAAATAGGGAGAGATGGATGCCGATTGAGTATTTCGAGATGGATTGTTGTTCTTTAGAGACGAGATTTATCTCTTGTCAAATTCACCATTGGTAGCTTCTGTCTTGTCCGGGTTTCATGATAGCACACATGAAGGTGTTCAGAATACCATGCAACGTATTCGCAAGGATGTTTATTGGCCAACTATGAAGACATCTATCAAGGATTATATTGCTGCTTGTTCGGTTTGCCAACGTAATAAGGCTGTTAATTTGAGTCCAGCAGGACTGTTACAACCTTTACAACTACCTAATCAGATCTGGTCGGATATCTCAATGGATTTTATTGATGGGCTGCCAAAATCATTAGGTAAAATAGTGTTATTGGTGATTGTGGACCGGTTCTCTAAATATGCACATTTTATTCCTCTTGCTCATCCATATAATGCGTCTTCTATAGCAAGACTTTTCTATGAGAATATTGTTCGTTTGCATGGTATCCCAGAATCAATTGTCAATGATCGAGATCCCCTCTTCACAAGTACGTTCTAAAAAGAATTATTTCATTTATGTGGGATTAAATTAAATTTTATCTGCTTATCATCCACAGTCGGACAACCAAACCGAGGTTGTTAATCACACAATCGAGATGTATTTGCGATGCTTGGTGGGTTATCGTCCTACAAAATGGGTAGAATAGATTTCGGAAGCTGAATTTTGCTATAACACTTATTTCCATTCAACACTTCACACGTCTCCATTTCTAGTTGTTTATGGCTGCGAACCTCCCAGATTGCAATCCTACATGACTGGTTCATCTCGAGTTGATGTTGTTGACCGAACATTAATAGACCGAGATGTTGTCTTACAGGATATTCGAGCCAAGCTACAACAAGCTCTGGCTAGCCGTGTTTATCATAAACTTGCACCACAGTATTATGGCCCCTTTGCAGTTTTGAAGCGCATAGAATCTGTAGCTTATCAACTTGATCTACCTGCAGGTTACAAGCTTCATGATATGTTTCATGTGTCACTTCTTAAGCCATTCAAGGGTGAGATACATGCAACTCTACCTACTCTTCCACCAGTTGAAGAATAACGCATTGTTCCCACCCCTTGCTCTGTCCTCCGATCACGCCCGAATCATGGTAATTGGGAACTTTTGGTTCAGTGGTGTGGTTTCTCTGTTGAGGATTCCACTTGGGAGAATGTGAATCATTTCAAATCTGCCTTTCCAGACTTCAAGCTTGAGGACAAGCTTTTTCTACAGGAAGGGAGTAATGTTATGGATGCGTTTGTTGGCAGACCATATACTAGACGAAAGAATTAATAGGATAGATAATGATTGATATTTTCTGAATTATTTTGTCAGCTTGAATAAAATATCCCTTAGGGATTTAGGACTTGTTATTTCTTTTAGTTAGGACTCTTTTCTGAGTTAGGACTCTTGCTATGTAACCCTCTATTTAAAAGAGTTGACGCTTATCAGGTTGAATTTCTTCAAGTCATAGAGATTTGGAGCTTTTCTCAAACAAGTTCTAGGTGTGCAATTCCTTGATTGAATTGCAAATCCAGCAATCATAGGCAAGTCTAGGAACAAGAACAAGGGCATAGACTTTCGTGTTGGGCCTGACTTTCGTGTTAATCGTCTAGCGACTCGATCCAAAATTAGGGACCATAACAATTCCCGCTATAGGTCGTGTTGGGCTGCTATAGGTCGTGATGGAGCCCAACGTTGCCGCTAGGTAAGCCAACAATGAACTATCAACTTAATTATTCATTTTATTATTTTTGAAATTATGGATTTTATTAAGTAAAGGAAATTAGGCGTAGAAAAATATGGAGATATAAAGCATTAATAAAAACTAGTATAGTCGGCCTAACAACTACTCTATAGAACTTACATTTAAGTCTTGGTGGCACATTCTTATCACACAAGATACTAGATGCGAGCCCCTATTTCATTTATCCCCCAAATACAATGGATGACATCATTGTCAATCTCCCAATTACCTTGAATTAATGACCCACGCTACTTGAAACTTTCTCTCTTGGGATGACTTGTGTATCAAGTCTCACTTCCAAGTCCACTTCATAAGTTGCGTCACTGAACTTGCACTCAGGTATTCTGTCTAAATCCCGCTTAACCTGAAACCCTTAGACTTTAGGGTTTGTCTCCAAACCTCCAGCCTAGTGTAACATCGCCTCACGTCTCGTTAATCAGTACTATGTCATCTGCAATGTGACGCGTCAATTCATCCATCACTAAGGAAAATAAGAACATGCTAAGGCTTCATCCTTGGTGCAACCTCATCAAGACCGGAAAGTAGCCTGAGTTTCCTCCTACTGTCCTTACACGGGTCTTGGCTCCCTCGTACATGTCTTTAAGATCAAATGATTTAAAATCTTCCTATCAATTTCTTGGCTTAAAAAGTACTAATATTTGTCGGTGTAGTTGGATGATTAGGGTAAAAATGAATATGTTAGATACTATTATATTCCTTTTGATGCATACACATCAAAATTGTGAAAGATTTTAGTCCCTTTCACTTTTCCTTCTAAAAAGATCCTTTCTTACTTCTAACAATTAGATATGTTTTCTTTGATTTTATGACAAAGTCAAGTTTTAATTCATTTGTTCAATATTTAGATATTCAATGGAAGAAGGGGATCCTTGGCAAAAAGGCAAAATTGGTTCAAGCTATGGAAATAGCCTTTTGTAGAGATGCAAGGTAAAATTGCTTACATAAGATCCAATTTGATCCGGCCTTTCATCGGCCTCCTTGCATAGCGGAAGCTTAAAAATATAATGTACAATATAGTGATGAAGTTTCTTTCATTTAAATGACGATCATAATGAATATCAGCTCAAGGAAATTACTCAGAAGCTTTGCAAAATTAAGGTACACGACTAAAAATTGATTTGCGTGATCGAACTTATGAACAATGCGGATCTTATTTGAAATGAGCAGGGCGATAAAGTGTCATTTCAATGAGCATTTGTTCTTTATTTCTTCAATAGTTACCCTTGGGAAAAGAAAAGAAAGGAAATGAAAGAAAAAAACATTGAGCATTTTACATACAGTTAAAAACAGGCTCTGCTAGTTTGTTATTGAGGAATACATTTCGAGGAAAATAAAACAAAACAATACAGAGACGTGATTTCCAATGTTTCGACAATCAAATTGATAGTTTCTTACAAAGAAACTCATGCAACAACTGAATGTAACTTTTAGAAGCTTTTTCTTCTGGTAACTTCAGAAGGCGAGCAACCTCTTGAAATCCTGCATGTTGCTTTACATACAAAGAATTCTCACTTGCACTGTGCTTCATCTCCTGATTGTGAAGCTTTGTCTTTGACAGAGCCCATTGCATTGCCCAAATTGCTAAGGGCCTCATGTAACACAGTGATCTATAGTGATCATATGTGTTCCATCCCTCAGGCGTTTGGAAACCAAACCTGCGCATACAAGAACCTACAGTTGATCTCTGCTAAATGGTTAAGAAGATCTACTACTTTAATTCCTGTTTCAAAACATGAAATCACCTATCAAACTGTATAAAGGCGAGTGCAGAACTATGAACAGGAGACATTGTACGAGTATCTACATGCCCTAAAATATCAACAGACTTTCTAAGGATGTTAAAATTTCGTTGCAGAGTCGTTTCATGAACTGGAACACCTAAAACTGTAAAGAAAGAGTATGAAATCTCTTAGCCATTAATTAAATTAGAAACTAAATGAAAGTGAAATTAGTAGTGAGGTGTCAGTATGGAGTTGCGTCAACAGTGGATATAAGCTAGACTAGGCTAAATGAAAGCGGAAGCTCACAAAGTTTAGGGAGCTAATCAACTAGTCAATAGAGATGTCATTATAGCTTTGGATTCATATTTCTTCATAGCTTGGCACACATTATTGTGATGCTTCTCTTATGAACAGGCTGAAGCTATGAGCAATTTCATTAAATAATCTATCAAACAAAGGCATAAACATATATTCGTTTTAACAGTGATGCTTAATGGTATGACCAACCTACAACTATTAGCTTGATAAATGGTGATCCTTGACACCCGTAGCAATATAGCCTTTTTCTCTATTCTTGATAGTCAGAATAGTAGTGACTAAGGGAATTTTGGAAATGAAAAAAAAAAAAAGAATGTCACAAGCATCACAAAATAGTAGCACCAAAACTAACTTCCTCTTCCTTAAATAATAGATATCTAACAGAACTTCACGGTTCTGGGTAATGTCTTGCTAAAACAATCTATGCATATCTAAATGGATGCAATCTTTACTAGTATCTAGTTTATCGCAAACAATCACCAAGCCTAGAATAGGTTTTCCCTGATTCACTAGGTGACTTGTAATCATATGATAATGGAAAACTTCTCAACAAAGAGTGGTTTCCAATTTGTATTGCTAAAATGCTGTTTGGTTGATTTGTCCAACAAATAGCTCACTAGAAACCTCATCTTATCCGGACCCACTCAAGTCCCCGAACAATTCATGTATCAGAAAATAAAAGAAGAAAATTATAGTTGCTACGCAACGAAATCAGTATTTCAAGTTGAATGACAACTCATCATTTCAGCCTGGAAATGATAACCTCCAAGCAAAGAGAAAAAAGTAGAGAAAAAAGAAACTTACCCAAAACCTTCTTCTGACCAAGCTGTGGAGTGTATTCCACTTGCTGTATGAAATGCTATGTCCACCAAGCCCTCTTGTATCATATTAGCAGCAAGAGAATATGTGACTCCTGTCCATATTTCTCTTGACTGCATAGCAGACATATCAGGTTTTCCATTTGGTTGCATCCCGTTTACAGCCCCTCGAATCCCTCCTTTATGCTTTAACACATTGAAATCATAGATTTTCTTGAGAGCAGTTCTTATCTTCTCTTCATCAGCAATAGGTGAAAGACCACTCGCTCTCGCATACCTATGAGATAGCATACTAATGAGAAACAGGTTTTATGGTAAAGTTTCAAGTTATCACGGGTCTATCAACCATATGAAACTTCAAAGAACATGAAAAACGCAATATATTCATAGGTGGTGAATTTCAAGTTCTTTTCTCTAAATTTAGAAAAAATTCATCAGTTTAAAGCCATTAGTTCCTCTTGCCCCGTAAGATGAAGAAATAACTCACCATTGACCAGCCAACTGATCAGCGTGAATTGAAGAACTTGATCTACGACCACTATTGTCATAATTAAAGTAAGAACCATTCCATAACTTGTCATATACGGATTTTGCCTTCTGAAACTTTGCCCAAAGGTAATCAGCAGCTTCAGCATCACCAACCTCACGAGCCATCGCCGAGGCAGCTTGCAGAGCTGCTACCCAGAGCCCACCACAATATGTGCTCACTCCACTAACAGTCCATGCATCGTACGTCTGATCAGGGAACCCTTCATTTTCAATCATGCCATCCCCATCCTTATCAAACTGATCCATATATGCTATAGCTATGTATACTGATGGCCAAACAGATTTTCCAAAATTTTTATCACCGGTAGCAACAAAATCCCTGTAAACTTGAAGGACAAATTTCGAATTTAAGTCCTTCCATCTGTCTGAGTTGAAGAAATTGTATGCATTTACTTCAAACCATGGATCATTAAGTCCAATATCATGAGGGACGGCTCCAAGCACTTTTCTGGAGGCCCATGTTCCATCACTCATAATATTCATTTTAGATGGATCATGCATCATTACCGCCATTGCGCAGTCTCTTTGGATGCTCAGCTCAAGTTTTGGGAAGAGCATTAATAGTGCATATGACGCATAAAAATGAACATCATAGGTATTAAACATGTGATATTCAATCCCTTCAAGATAAAGAAACTGGCCAATGTTCTCCTCTCCATCTTGAAGTAGATAAGTACCAAAAGCAGAGTTTGATGCCACCGGAGTCTGAAGTTCGTTAACAGTAGATTTCATCCTAGAAAGTAATCCCATATAGGTCTCATGTTTTTCATCCAATTTTAATGTTTTCTGAGAATCCGATTTGGCTTTATCGAGGGAAAACTTTTTCTCCCAAATGGTTCCAAAGTTTTGCATGGGTAAGGATCCATCTATGACATTAAAATATAGCGTTAATTAGACACAGTAACATAGCATGCTAACAGAATTTCCTTTCCGTTTACCTGTCCAAATCGTGCCCCCTGCATTAAGATAATAAAGCTCGTTGAAAAGAGTGATGCGGTACCTGATGCAAATGGTTGACACTTCAGAAGTTTATTTAGAAACTGCAATGACATGTATATATTCTGAGGAAAAAGCACTTAAAATCTATGTTTCACCATTCTGGCAGGTTTGTGTCTTCAAGTATTGGATTCTGCCACGCTTCAATCTCACGCTCCCAATTGTTATGTTCTAGTTTAAAGATAGACGAACAATGAAATTAGAATGCTTATATAATGTATGTTCACATCCATCCATTCACAGAAAGCCAGTTTGTTCATAACAAAATCATTGGAGATCATGAGTCATTAGTCATATCTGTCAAATTGAGTAAATTTGCTGTTTAATGATACTTTTGTAATGGAAATTTTTTGTTGAAGCCATTCTCCCTTTTGTTGTGCAGCTCCAAAACATAAATAATACACTAATACTGGAAATACCATAAAATGTACATTACAATTCCATGATTGATATAATTACCTAGAATAGCGTCATGGGCAATAATAGCTGAACCATCACCTTGAACATCATAGAATTTTGTATATCGTCTGAGACAATGTTTAACATCCAAATATATTTAGCAATGAACAATTTTAATCATAAGACTCTAGATACAAGAACTGATTTATGACCTGTGGTAAGTCTTGCCGCTGGGAAATCTTATTTCTGGGCAGTCCCAGGCAAGTGAAAAAGTAACTGTCCGAACAGCACCAGGTGGAATTTTAACAGATGCTGCTAAGGAAGCTCCAATAGATGATCCCTTTTCCGATGTTATCAAGGTCTGAGCATCCTTAAGATGGTCAAATGAACCATGCTGTTATAAAGAAAAATTGCAAAGGAATTAGGAGTCCAGAATAGACATAATGTTAATGCTCATATTCATCATAATCATTTGAATAAACAAAAAGGTTGAGCTTTAAAGTAATGATATAAAAATTAATAACATGCGTAGCTGTTGTTTATATGCAAGAACCAGGAAAACAAACTAACCTTCTCGATTTCCCTCCACATGTCCCTTGCTGTCATAATCTCAGACTCTCCAGATATCAAAAAGCATGGACATTCTGAGACACGGACATCCGCAGTTTCTTGAGCTGCAATGGCAAAGTTCACCGGAGGGAGTCCATCTGAAGTGCTGAACGGAAAAATACAGTTGTATTGTAATAAAACTATCAAGCATGTGGGGAAAAGAAAAGGATTGTAGCTATAGAATAGAGGACAGTTTACACAAAACATACTTGTGATGGAGGAGTATGCCATGGACACAGTCTTCCATCCTACAGAGGCCAATACATATTGATCAGAATTAATCATCCAATACAATTAGCAACGAAACCAAACTGATTCCATTAGACGCTTAATATTTGTGAGAAGACACGGGAGAAAATATGTTATTGATATTGGATGATAAATACAATACAAGATGTCCCTATTTATAGCTATACACTGCAAGGAGATATTACTCCTCTTCCAATGTGGGACAAGACTACACTATACATATTTGTAAACTAACACTCCCCCTCAAGCCGGTGCATACACATCATATGTACCGAGTTTGTTACACATGTAACTAATACGAGAACCAGTAAGAGACTTAGTGAAAATATCTGCTAGTTGATCATTCGACTTTACAAACTTTGTAACAATATCTCCTGAAATTATTTTTTCTCTGACAAAGTGACAGTCGATCTCAATGTGTTTAGTCCTCTCATGGAACACCGGATTTGACGCAATATGAAGAGCAGCTTTATTATCCCACACTAGTTCCATCTTGCCGATTTCTCCGAACTTTAACTCCTTGAGCAACTGCTTGACCCAAACTAACTCACATGTCGCCAAAGCCATGGCCCGATATTCGGCTTCGGCGCTAGATCGAGCAACTACATTCTGTTTCTTGCTCTTCCACGAGACCAAATTACCTCCTACTAGAACACAATATACAGACGTAGAACGTCTATCAATAGGCGATCCTGCCCAATCAACATCTGTGTACCCAACAATCTGCTCGTGCCTCGATCCTCGAATAGTAATCCTTTGCCTGGAGCTGACTTTATATACCGAAGAATGCGAACAACTGCATCCCAGTGACTATCACACGGAGAATCCATAAACTGACTTACAACACTCACCGGAAAAGAAATGNCCACCGGAAAAGAAATATCAGGTCTAGTCACTATGAGGTAATTCAATTTGCCAACCAGCCTCCTATATCTCGTAGGGTCTTTAAGAGGCTCCCCCTGTCCAGGCAGAAGCTTAGCATTCGGATCCATAGGAGAGTCAATAGGACTGCAACCCATCATTCCTGTCTCCTCAAGAATGTCTAAGGCATACTTCCGCTGTGAAATAACAATACCTGAGCTAAACTGAGCGACCTCAATACCTAGAAAATACTTCAATCTGCCCAGATCCTTAGTCTGGAAGTGCTGAAAGAGATGTTGCTTCAGATTAATAATATCATCTTGATCATTACCAGTAATAACAATATCATCAACATAAACCACTAGATAAATACACAAATTAGGAGCAGAATGCCGATAAAACACAGAGTGATCAGCCTCACTACGAGTCATGCCGAACTCCTGAATAATTGTGCTGAACTTACCAAACCAAGCTCGAGGGGACTGTTTCAAACAATTTAGTGACATGCGCAATCTGCACACACAACCATTAAACTCCCCCTGAGCAACAAAATCAGGTGGTTGCTCCATNTATAATGAGGTGACGATAGACGATGATAACTTAAACCGACATAGTGGGGATTAGGATTAAGTGTGGATTGTACACCTTTGCAGAGTGCAATAGGTTGACTAAGAGGAGACAAGTCCGCAGTAGGTGCAGAATCTGATGCGGGTCGTGAATCACCTGGGCCTAATACTGGATGTGGACGACGATGATAAGTCAAGAGTGGTGGAGCTGCAGAAGATTGAACTGGATTATGTGAAGGAACTGGAGCTATAGGTGGTGGAGCTACAACCAGAGCTGTAGGTGGTGGAACTGGAGCTATAGGTGGTGGAGCTACAACTGGAGCTGTAGGTGGTGGAGCTGGAGTGACTGAATCTCCAAAAGATGAAACTGGTAGTACCTCAGAAATATCTAAGTGATGACCTGAACCTGTGAAGTATGATTGGGTTTCAAAGAAGGTAACATCAGCGGACATAAGGTACCGCTGGAGGTCAGGAGAGTAGCATCGATACCCTTTTTGTGTTCTCGAGAAATCCAAAAATACGCACTTAAGAGCACGAGGAGCTAACTTATCTGTTCCTGGAGTAAGGTTATGGACTAAACAAGTGCTTCCAAAGATACGGGGTGGAAGAGAGAACAAAGGTAAATGGGAAAATATGACAGAGAATGGAACTTGGTTCTGGATAGCTGAAGATGGCATACGATTAATAAGATAGCAAGATGTAAGAATTGCATCCCCCCAAAAACGAAATGGAACATGAGATTGTATGAGTAGGGTACGAGCAGTTTCAATAAGATGTCTATTCTTTCTATCAACTACCCCATTTTGTTAAGATGTGTACGGACAAGATGTTTGATGAATAATCCCATGAAATTTCATAAACTGCTGAAATAGGGAAGACAAATACTCTCGGGCATTATCACTATGAAATGTGCGAATAGAAACCCCAAATTGATTTTGAATTTCAGCGTGGAAGGTCTGGAAAATAGAAAACAGTTCAGATCGATTTTTTATCAAAAATATCCAAGTGCACCTGGAATAATCATCAATGAAATTGACAAAGTAGCGGAATCCCAAGATGGAACAGACCCGACTAGGACCCCAAACATTTGAATGGACTAAAGTAAAATGTGACTTTGCTCGATTATCAAGACGCCGAGGGAAATGGGAGCGGGTATGCTTACCGAAATGACATGACTCACACTCTAGAGCTGACAAGTGAGATAAACCAGATACCATTTTCTGAAGTTTTGACAAACTGGGATGTCCCAACCGTTTATGTAATAAATCTGGTGAATCAGTAACAGGATAAATTGTAGAAGGAAGACAAGATGTGAGTCCATATGATTTAGCAAGGATAAGGTAATAAAGTCCGTTTGATTCACACCTGGTACCAATGATCCGCCTCGTACTGCGTTCCTGTATAAAAACATGGTCATCAAGAAATAAAACAACACATTTAAGCGATTTGGCTAAGCGACTAACAACAATGAGATTAAAAGGACTATTGGGAACATAAAGAACTGAATCTAAAGGTAAGAAAAGAAGTGGGCTTGCTTGATCTATTGCAGTTGCCATGGTTTGAGACCCATTGGCCATTGTGACTTTTGGAAGAGATTGAGAATACGAAATAGTAGTGAAAAGAGATTTGTTACCAGAAATATGATCTGATGTACCTGAATCAATGACCCAAGACTCAGAGGATGAAGATGGGAGAAACAAGTCACGCTATTACCTGTTTGAACAACAAAAACTATCTTAGAAGATGTCTGCTTACATGCTATATACTGAAGGAACTCTATATACTCTGCTAAAGAAACCATCCGACTATTCAAAGTATCGATTCCCATGTCGCTACAATTTGTAGTAGTAGGGTTAACTTGAAATAGAGGAAATAAGTAACTCCTGTGAGAAAACTGAAGAAATAGCTTGGAAAACACTGTTTACAGTAGGAAAACAAAACACTGTTCTGTGCCGGAAACACTGTTCACGCTGGAAACACTGTAGCTCGCCGGAAAATTCTAAAGTTGTCGGATTTTGTCGTAACCAAGATGGATAGACTCGGAATTCCTTTGCGAGCAAGCTGTCCTGAAGAAATGTTTTCAAAAAATGGCTGGAAAGGTCACTGTTCACGCCGGAAAAATATAAAAGTGGTCGGAATTTGATTTAAACTAGATGAGTAGGCTCGGAATTTTGAGGAAAGCATACTGTCCTGAAGAAGCTTCGCGAAAAAATGGCCGGAACCCTCGCCGGAAAAGTTGTTGTTGACGGCGCGTGGAGGAGCACGGCGACTTTTCTGCTGGATAAAATTTCAGGGGTTGGTCGTCGGAGGGTGATCTACCTCGTGGTGGTGTTGGTTTTAGCACAACACCGACAGAAAGTGACTTTCACTTAGACAAGCCTTAGGTCACCGGAAAAATTGCACGATGACTAAGTTCTTTCTTCCCGGTTAACGCTGGAATGACGCACAACGATCTTTTCTCACTAATGCTCTGATACCATGTGAGAAGGCACGGGAGAAAATATGTTATTGATATTGGATGATAAATACAATACAAGAGGTCCCTATTTATAGCTATACACTACAAGGAGATATTACTCCTCTTCCAATGTGGGACAAGACTACACTATACATATCTGTAAACTAACAATATTAATTGATGATGAAGTAGTAAATATTCTTACAAAATCTTCTTATTAACATGTCCGCCAGAGAATTCTGAGATTCCACCCACCGAATTCTGAAGATAAGATAGTAAACATGCTGAAATAAGTTGCACAGAAAATTCATGATAAGCATTCATTTGATACAGTAAGGAATGCTTCTACTAGAAAGAAAAATGCGTCGACATACAGCCCATGTGAAAAGTAAGGTCACATCAGCATCAGTCTTCCCAGAGTTAGAAAGCTGCAGAAATTTTCTTGAATAAGATTTAACATATAAAAATGTTAAGACTGGTCAAGCTATTTGTAAAACGTCTTCTACATGCTTAAACCTACCGTAAACGTGAATACAGTGACCGGCAAGCTGCTATCCTTATAATTATGTGGAATAAATGGTGAAAGCTGACGACAAACAATGCTGAGTTCGGGATCTGGAACACCTGCTTGATGAATGATTTAAAATATCATTTATTAGTCTGAATTAGATAAGAGATTCAGACTTTATACTTTTGATTTATCTGTACATAATACCATCATAGACAGTCCATGCTCTTGGATACAAAGCGTGATATGTGCATTTCTCCCCGTCTAGCTTCCATTTCCATGATTCAATACCCAATCCTGTGTTCGTTCTGTATGACTAGCTGATTCAGTATCATTTTATAATGTTTCTACAGCACTAGGCTCCAACTAGAGCCTTTGTGTGTCATTTGATGTCTTGCATCAGTTAAGCTGGTCACTTACTTGAGCTCTTCCGGACCTCTAGAGCATAGTACTGTTGAAAACTTTTCTCCGTTTGGGCGAGAAATGAATACCTGTTAAAGGAAAATTACAAATCTGTTAAATGTCTTCCCATAACGAAGGCCCTTACTCTGCATATCTTTATTCCTTTAGAATTGCCTACATATCAACAGCTATTTTTACATGAATTAATAAGACGTTAAGAAATCAAAAACCTCTTTGGAGTTTGCTACCTTAATCAACTTTCGAGATAAATGTTTATGTATTTATAACATTGCAGCAGCATGATAAAAAGGTTCTGTTGCCAGCTAATGTGGTATCACAAAGAAAAGTGAGAGTATTATCTTTGATTAAAAGCAGTAGTATTAAGTGAATTACTTACTGAAAACTGGTTTGCAAGAATAGGTGTATCTTCACATTTTCTGGGGAATAATTGAAAGCGCTGAAATTCACCTCTCAAACTTCTTCCAATACTTCCTGCACTGCAGATTGATGTTTCTATTACAAAGGTCATACACATTTGCAAGACTCAAAACTATGTGGAGACAATGAAGTGTAAAGTTCAACAGAGTTCTATATCAATTCAACATCCATCAATGGAAATAAATTTGCATTTGCTTCAACAGAGTTCCCATTGTACCCTTCATGAGATGATTTATAGCCACACAAATATCTAAAGCTTGTTTTAGACAACAAGTTTAAAAAGTCTTCATTTCTTACTTAAAACTCCGTGCCAAGTCAAATGGTGCCACATAAATTGGGACGGAGAGAGTACTATTTGCACTTTCAATAGATTGTTAGTAGTCAAGAACCTTAATACATGGTGAAGTACTTTCCTGTTAAACTGAAACACCGTCGACTGACCTTTACTGGAATGAATGTTACCATTCATCATTTAGCACACTTTATTTCACAGTTCAATTATTTTTCTATTAGATTATTTCTACTATTAAGCTACAAAATCATTTTCGTCCGCTCCCCATACTTTACATTAGTGATTAGATTGATACAAATTATATGAGAACTCACCCAATACCACCTAATGGAACGCCATGATAACATGAGAGAAGACGCTTGTTGTACGGATCCATGATTGATGGCTGAAAACATAAATTAGAGGACAATGGTGGTAAAGGGCAGAAGATAAGTACACCATTCATATGGTCTGCTACGTTATGAAACTTTAGAACATGGGTAACAGGTATTACACATTACCGTTCCTTTTGCAGCTTCTTCATTTATATGCCTCCACAACCTAAGACCAAGTGGAAGCTATCCACCAAAAATAAAACGATAATTATATTACTTCAAAAGAAAGATAATAAAGGTTTGTCTTAGGTAGATATACAACAAATTACCTACTAAGTGTAGCACAAATATATGCAGATGAAGACTGGCTAAGAACAAAATCGGTCAAGATTTCTGATGCTACTGATGTAACCAATATTTAAAGCATAAAAAGAACTAATTATGGCCAAAATGCAAGTGTTTTTCTGAGTGAATACTTAAGCGTGTTCCCAGTAGAACAGAGATAGGAAATATGAAAGCTTACGAGGTGTAAAATTTCTCGAATGCTAGGAGCAAAATGTGTAGGGGTACTTCCTGAACAATTTAGCTTCCGCTGCCATGCGAGTAAAGGAGGTTTTCCAGGATCAACCTATATGCAAAAGGATGAGACATGATACATTTATATAACAACAGTTGCGTTCTCTTATAAGAAAAAGCTAAACAAATTAAAAAAAGTTCCCGATATCAAGCGCTTCACATACAGTAGCATAATTTTTCAACGATAACAAAGGAACCAAGAATCATAAGAAAGGACCAAAGGCATCATGAAGGTTAAGACACTACTCGTCTTTCCTTCTCTTTTTGTTTTACTATTATTATCATTAAATTAAATTTCTTTCATTTCTTTGGGTTTTGAGAGGTTGGAGGGGGCCTTGCAAAAGCGAACCAAGAAGATGCTCAGAGAACCCTCCAGCAGATGCAAAGCAGACAAATACATTAACACATGCTAACCTACTCTTTAAGACAAAATCAACTTTTTCCAAAATCCAAAATGTCACTTCAGATTTTTGTCATAAAAATACCCAACTACAAGAAATTGATTCATCAAAGTATATACTCTTGCGAATGGTCTACTGAAGCATCTTTAATACTAGTAGTATAGTAGTATAACAACTTGTATAAAAATTTGTACCACCATGATAAAAGCTTTCGAAGATCCCAATGTTTTTAGCCAAGATTGATAATTAGGGGATTGTGCAGATCTTATTCCATCATACACAATTTCCTAAAGAAGGAAATTCAGTATTTGATTAAACTAAGAACTTTTCTGCCAAATGGTTGCATAATTTCAGTTAACAGTTTCACCTTCTGCAACAATGAATCACGTCCTTCTTCCTCATCGACTCCATTTTCCAACATCTTGCCTAAGAAAGAACAGAGGAACAACTTAGCTAATGTCGCAATGGAACTTGTAGTACTAGAAACAACTTAGCTATAACATTCCAGAAAAGAAATAAAGGGCTGTCATCCACCATTCAACTTGCTTTTCGTCTCTTACCTACAAGTAGTACAAGAGGACAAGATAATGAAACACAAAAAGGAATCAAATTTAACCTGAGAAGAGATAACTACCCCACGAGATATTTTTTTTATATAACCATCTGGTATTCGGAATCCACTGGCCGACTAATCCAGATACCCCAAGAGAAGTGGCTTCAAGCTTTAATCTTATCGAGATAAAAATATCTGAACGATAACTAACAATGTAAAAAGAAAAGACTTCAATGGTCTTTTCAAGAAATGAGAATAAAACCTGATCATCATCAACTTATTTTTGCCAAGAAGCATACTTCTTGAAGGTTTGGTATTAGCTGTAAGTCAAACTTTTTGACACTTATGGCTAAAATTGGATAAGAAATAGTTTGATTAGAAGACTTAAATTGGTCCAAAGAGGCAAAGAAGTGAGGACTTTTTCTTCCATTCTTATCCTCTTCATTAAAATCCAACTTCCAAACAGTCCCCTCATCCACTTGAGAAAAGTCAAGATTCTAGATATTACTCTTCCAAGAACTTGAAATCTACTCATCAAAACAAAGTTAATCATTCGCCAGATTAATGCAGTAAGAAGAGAAAACAAATAAATATAATGCAACTGGTATATACATTGAGAGAACTATTTCGTCATGATTAAACTCTGATGAACATAAGACTTTAATTCAAGCAAATGTAGACTAATTTCAACTTTAACCACAACAATAGAACTAAAAAGCCGCAATTCAAATCAATGATGATCAACATTTGAAACTACAGCAATATAGTAAAAATGAGAGAAAATTCATATTTTTTTACTTTAAACAAAAGGGAACACAAATATGTAAGTAAACGTCAAGAAACTACTAAAAACTTACCTGGACTAGAAGAAGAAGAAGTGGCAGTTCTATTTTTGTTTCCTTAAGTTTCAATTGCCAACTCATTTTATAGTAGAACTTTATTAAAAAGGCGACAATAAGCAATGGGGTTGGTGGAGGGATAGCATCTTCTCAAGGTGGTGCAAAAAAAGTCCAAAAATATTTCTTTCGTTACGACTAACACATAATAATTGAAAGGTAGCAAAAGCGTCATTTTCAGTAGTGGACCCTTGACAACAACTAATCCAAATTCCCAACATGAAGATTTATATGCCGTAGGGATAAGTTGCGCTCAATATTAAAGAAATTATAATAGCTGTAATTTTCATAGAATAATGATCTAAATAAATCGTTTTCCCTCATCAAGTCGTAACCCGGCCAAAGTTTAATATTCTTTTTACGTTGTGTAAAAGTTAGGAAAAAGATGATGTACATATATTGTCGGATTTAACTTTTCTATATTGATAGTATAAAGTATAATTTAACATCTCATTGTAACCTTTATTTTTTCAAGCAACTGATTTTACTCACAGACAGAGACAGTTAACCACACGATGTTATATTGATAGTGTAATGACCTTTGTACGTAGGTCGATCCCCAACTTTTTTAATTTGTAGTTTTAATAACCTCGTAGCTATGGTGCATCTGGGCACCTTTCTCCCTGCACGTCTTTAACTTAGTTAAATTAATATATACTAGAACTTATAGAATCCTTTTGGTGACGTAATGGTACAAAAGTTCTCTCCTCTGTCAGTTTAATTATAGAAGTTAAATTATATATTTTTTTAACGTACCAACAAAGCGTGGGCATACCAAGATAGCTAAGATTAGGAATAAAGTTATTCAGAACAAAGTGGGAGTGGCCCCGTAGAGGACAATATGCGGGAGTCGAGACTGAGATGGTTCAGGCACGTTAAGAGAAGAAGCATTGATGATCCTGTTAGGAGGCCTGAGAGGTTGGCCATGGGGGTTTGAGAAGAGGTAGAGGTAAGTCAAAGGAGTATCGAAGAAATGTGATTAGGCAGGACATAACGCTGCTTTAGCTTACTGATGACATGACCCTTGGTAGGAGTTTGTGGAACTCGAGAATTAGGGTAGAAGGTTAGTTGGTAGTCGAGAGTTTCCCCTTTCCTTACCAGTAGTATTAGTAGCTCTCTTGTATTTTCATATTCTTATATTTCTATTACGTCATGTTATTTCGTTCGCTTTAGGTAGAAGGTTAGTTGGTAGTCGAGAGTTTACACTTTCCTTACCAGTAGTATTAGTAGCTCTCTTGTATTTTCATATTCTTATATCGCTTTAGCTCTCGTTTCGTACTACTTCTTTTCTTCTTCTTCTTTTCCTTTTTCTTCTTTCTTTCTTTCTTTCTTTCTTTCTTTCTTTCTTTCCTCCTCCTCCTTTTCATATTTTTCTGAGCCCATAGTCTATCTGAAATAGCCTCTCTATCTTCACTAGGTAGGGATAATGTATGCATACACACTACCCTCTCCAGACTACACCTGTCAGATTATACTGGGTTTGTTGTTGTTGTTGTACCAACAAACAAAATGTTATTTATTTAATACGATGTTGATTAGAAAAATTAAGTGAAATCAAAGTTTATTGATATGCATTATTAGAGTTTGAAAGCAAATACAGTCTAGAGAGAAACCTTCTCTCTAACTTCCCACTCCCAAACTCTCCCGTCATTTTAGATTCACACCACCAGATCTAACCAAATTGAAAATTGATGAGCATCTCCATTGACATATTTGGGGCCCCACTCCTCGACTCCCAGAACCCCCAGACCCAAATACCAGCGAAAATGTAGCCAGAATTAAAAACCCCTAATTCAACAAAGCCAGTGGGGCTTTGGAAGGAAGCTCTGATCTGAGCCAACAAAACTCATATATTGATGTATTGGGAAACATGAGAACAAATTCTAACAAAAATAGAGTCTGATTACCGGCGTGCACTTATGAGATGGTGAATAGTAAAGCCACAGTGATTTTCACAGAAGAAAAGCATGCAATGCTTGCAGAAACATGTTGGGGGACGATAATTGGAAAATTTCTCAGAGGTAAGCCTGCAATTGAAAAAATTAGAACTGATTTCGCTAGAGCTATTTCTCTTAAAGGAAAAGTTAAAATTGGTGCAAAAGACCTCAAATATGTCTTCATTGATGTTGAAAATGAAGATGACTTTAATATTATCTCCTCTAAGAGCTGGATACACTTGGATGGGGATAACAACATGAAAATTGTTAAATGGTCTCCTAAGTTCAAACCTGATGCTGACTCCACCTTAGCTCTACTGTAGATTAACTTACCCGACTTACCATGACACTACTACGAGTGGGATGCGCTGTGTAGAATTGATAGTCCCATAGGAACCCCAATAATCATGGACAAAGCAACTCTTGCAAAGTCAAGATCTACTACTGCTAAATTAAGGGTTGAGATTGATTTGGCCAAACCCTTTATATCAAAAGTCTTTGTTGAGATAAGGAACTCACAAGGCAAAATGGAAGTATTTGAACATAAAATTGACTATGAAACCGTCCTTTCATATTGTTCACATTGCAAAAAGCAAGGACATATTGATGAAAAATGCAGAATCTTACATCCTAAAATATAAAAGGTTAATAACCTTGGCAAAGGAGGGACATATACAAAGAGGGGAAACGCCATTAGTAGACAACAAAATATTGAGAGGGGGAACAAAAATGAACAGAGATTCAACCAGAGCAAAGGGGACAACCAACAGAGGAACAACTCAACTAGAGACCAACATGACAGAGGACTAAACCAAAGAAATGAGGAAGGAGCTCAAATGATCGATGACGAAGGATGGCAACAAGTGGAAAAGAAAAAAGGGAAAGGAAGGAATTATAGAAACCAAGGGGAGAATGTCCCTAGAAATAGACACAATGAAGCATCGGAAACATCTACCACTAAAAGCAAAGTCCAACAAAAAACCAGTAACAAAGAGGGAAGTAGCAATAGTATTGTAGACATTGAAGAGATGGAAACTACATGGTACAACAAGACTATGGAAAAGGCACAAGAAATTTTCCACCAAAGACAACAAGTTTCAAAACACACTAGACTGGATAAGGCTCAAGTTGCAAAAGAAAAGGAAAAAACAAAAAAATAATAGGCTAAACTCAGTGTCAAAATAAATAGATATGAAAATGCTCTAATTCTACAAGATGCACAAGTCCAACTCCGGGGTGATATGGACAACCTGCTGACAATTAATAAGGAGGCGATTAAGGAGCTCAGCAAGAATAGGAAAAGTAAAAAGAAAAAATAAATATACCCAAAGGTGTTGTCCTAGAAGGGAAAACGAATCAAATAGCAGGAGGAGGTACTCAAGGTAGCCTATCTCTAGAATGGCCAACTCTAGAATTGGAAATGATGAAGGCAGGAAGTAGAACAAAGGATAAAAGGAAAGAAGTGCTAAATCCTCCAATCAAGAAGCAGGATAATGTGTTAGCCATTTATGTGAATAATGACCCAAGCCCCCATTTATTTTTTTTTTTTTGGGGGGG